ACACACACACACACACACACACACACACACACACACACACACACACACACACACACACACACACACATGTAATGGGAGTGCTCTGCTCTCTGTTTGGCAGATTCCAGTCAGAGCGTGAGTCAGGAGACAGGAACTTCGCCATTGGCTACTACCTGAAAGAAAAAAAGGTTTGACCCTGGATGAGTCATGAATAACTGCAGTTAACTACTGTTTACTCTCTGCATTTGTCTTTGCAATAAACAGCTTAAGAGCATTATAAAAAGATGCTGCTATTAAATAATTTGATAGAATTACCCATACATAGCAGTTAATTAGTAAATATCCATCCAAGTTATCTGTTTAGTTAATCTGCTTCTCTACTTTATCAGAAGGATAAGAAATGTTAGAAAGACCTGATAAACCAGTGTGTATACACTATTGGCAGCAGCTCCCCCCTCTTAAAAAGACTATTGTAGAGAGGTAGAGAGAGTGGAGAGTTTAGAGGAGGAAGTAAAATAGTGCTGTAAATTGAGATAGCTCTAATTGGGTTTTAAAAATGTTTTGATAAAGGTGCATCTCCAAAAGATTGTTTGAGATACTGTTTGCTTCTGTCACATGTGGGACCAAGATCTGCTCTAATCTTGCACTGATAACTTCAGATTGAATTCCTGCATCTCTGTTTTCAAACAAGGTTTTCAAGTCATTACTGCGTGAATAAATCCTCATTAATAACTAATGGGGTAAACATACAATGCTCTGTAACAAGAGATGGATCATAGGTATAGATTGCTGTTTAACTGGATGCAATTTAATGTCTCTTCAACTCATATTTTTCATTGACTTTACTTTTACCATCTGTGGAATAAGTTGGATTCTAAAAAACGTACAATAGGCCTTGGTTTCTGTCACAAACCAGAGGTTCCTTAACAAAAATGGGGTTGTTTGTAGTTGTTGTTCATCTTTGTGCTTCGTGTTTGTAACTGTTGTGTTTCTTTGCAGTGTTTCCCAGAGGGGGTAGACATGACCTCTGTATTGGACATGTACTTCCAAGTGAGTGTATCACTTTTCGTCGTATTATTTTTGGCAGAATATTGTCTCCTTCATCGTTGCTGCAATTCCACCAGTATTGATTTTATCCTTGAGTGAGGGAGATCATGTTTCTGCTTCTCTTCCAATATTAGCCATATGTCCCCATTCCCTCTGTCAAACCCTCTGTTCTTTAACATCTTAACTCCCATGAATAATACGATTTACAAAGCAAATTAAAAGGAAACCCTGTGTGTGAAGTGTTTTAGTAACATGTGTTTTAGTAACATGTTGAACCTCCAGAGATTGTACAATGGTCACACATTCAAGTGAGCATACAAACAACTATAAATAATATGAAAAATGTTGTAGGCATTCAGATGGATTTAGATCGGGGTGACTGTGATTGCAGATAATTTACATAATTTTTATCAAGTGCTTGTACTTTTCATCATCTCTTTCGTCATTGTCACTCTGCTTTTGTCGCACTTGACTTTGTAATTCGTTCTCTCACATTCCCCCTCCACCAAAAAACAGGCTGTACTGAAAATTGTGACAGAGAAATAATATGCATTGTCCTTTCTGTGAACCCCCAGCTGTGCTCCATTGAGGTGACCTGTGAGAGCGCCAGCGTCATGGCAGCCACCCTGGCTAATGGTGGCATCTGCCCAATCACAGGGGAGCGTGTCCTGAGCCCCGAGGCAGTGAGGAACACCCTGAGTCTGATGCACTCCTGCGGCATGTACGATTTCTCTGGGCAGTTTGCATTCCATGTGAGTAGAGAAGACCTTTTCACGAGTTCAGTGTGTTTGTGTGTGTGGACAAGATAAACAGAAATATGATCATTTTCCAGGATGTTTGTGTGATAATTAGAAGCTTATGCTAATCAGACAGTTATTCCCCAACATATGATTAAATACGATCATACAAGTCAATGAATTCATGAATTCAGAAAATTAAGTTATGCTTAGTTAAAGATTGAACAATTATTTATGAAAATATACATTTTCACTTCAGTGTTGATAATTATCCCTGTCAATTTGACATTATTATTTCTTTTAGGTTTAAAGTCAGATTTTTTGCTCCTGAAGGTTGTGGTTTTAAACTCTTTTTTATGACCAGAGAATGACAAACTGAAAATCATTTATTGATATTGTTTTATTGCCCAGGTCAATATCATATAATGAAGCAATGCATTCACTTTTACAACCAATAACATCATAGACACAATCTACAGCATATTTAGATTAACCAATCATGTATGATGGTATAGTCTAAAACACAGCACACATACAGAGTTTGCATGGCTCCTCCATTGCTTTCAGCACCATATTGTTGGCCTGCTGATCCTGCAGATAAACACCTGATCACCTGTTATGTCACACGTCTGTTTTCCCTGTTGCAGGTCGGTCTGCCCGCCAAGTCTGGAGTAGCAGGAGGAATCCTGCTGGTTGTGCCCAACGTTATGGGTATTATGTGCTGGTCTCCTCCACTAGACAAGCTGGGCAACTCAGTCAGAGGAATACAGTTCTGCACGGTATGTAATGTAATAAGTGTCCTGCAGTGTGTACTTAAAGAATACAGGGGCCAAATATTGTATTTATTCATTCATCATACACCACAACTAAACTAAAATTCCAGTAGCGTGTTTTATTGGAGCTGAAATTGTTCTGTCTCCATCTTGTAGCTTTTCATCAAGATGTATGGACTTGTGTATTTACGGCTATGTGTATTGTGATATGTGTAGGTTCTATGTATTTGTGTGTTTGTGTAATGTGATACGCATTGTATGATACGGTGGCCTTGAACCCAAGACAAGTTTCTCTATGGGAAAATAAAGTATATCTTACCATACCTTAATATACAACCATATTAGAAACAAGGTGTTTTGCATTTCAAATGACACAGTTTCTCAAATACTCAAACATCAGTGTTTACCAAGAATTTTTCTGCTTTGTCTTGATTTACAAAACTTAAAGGTCCAATGAGAGGTTTCATTTTCGAATGAAATATGATTTTATTTTAGTGAATAGCTTAGTCCTTCAAATTTAGATTTATTTTATGTGATACCCTTTTACCTTGTAAATACATTTCCGTCAGAAAATATGAATAACTTTTTTAGTTTTGTATTTTAATTATTTTTATTTTACATTCAGTTGGCTTCAAGGAAATAAGTGTTTGTACAAGCCATAAGAAAAGCAGAAATGCCTGTTGGTCAAAAGGTTATTATTGACTGATATTGTGTAGCAGTGTCCTTGAGTGGTCCTGGCTGACATCTTTTTAGAGCAACTGAACCTGTTTGATTAATGATCAGAAGTGCTTTTACAATGTATTTACTTCTGAAATCGTTTGTATTCCAACTTTGAATCATCAGAAAAAATGTCAACTCTAATTGTGTAAAGTAAATTACTTATGTTTATTTATGTTTCTGATGGATCTATAAATGTTTCTATTCCAGGACCTTGTGGAGCTTTTCAACTTCCACAACTACGACAACCTGAGACACTGTGCCAAGAAGCACGACCCTCGCAGAGAAGGAGGGGACCAGCAGGTAGGACGCACAGCACCTTGTAATGAGGGTGAAAAAACGGCTCCTATTTCTCCCACCAGAAAGATCAGTGCAACACACCTCCAAGAATGTGGGGGATGCTGAGCTTACTGCTGATGTGTAGCTGTGGCTGAACCTTAACCTGTATTTAGCTACATACTATACATACTGTGCAATACACCTAAAGGGAAAAACATGTGGACGTCCCTGGGCACATTGCTTTCTTGTCGGGTCCTTTTTTAAAGTGGAGGGATACTGTACACTTTCCTACATTTTGGTTAAGCAACCAACATAAGAAGCTAAATTTCTAATCAAATTGTTATAAAACAATTAATATATTTTGGTGCATTACCTAAGTGGGCCCATGCAGATGAAAACTGGTTTTGGCTCAGGTCTTTCAAAATATGCAAACCACATAAATACCACACACACACCGTCAGGAGGAGTGAGACTAATTTGTTATTCGTGTCGATTGAAACAGCAGCACAACTTCGGACCCATGGATTACGAGAGCCTCCAACAAGAGCTCGCTCTGAAAGCCCCTCTTTGGAAAAAGGTGTCTCCCACTGAGTCGCACCAGGACAGCTCCACCACTGTAGTCTATAGAATGGACACTGTCAGCGAGTGAAACAAAACCAAAGAGGAGACCCACTTGTCCCGCACACCCCCACCTCGCCCGAACCCTCTCTCCACATCTCGCAGCAACATCACCATCTTTCCTTTCCCTTAAATATTTATATATAATTTAAATTGTAGAGGATTATTTATTGCTTGTGATGGAGTTACTGTGTGGACGGACAGGGAAGCTTCTTTTGTTTGTTTGTGATGGGAAAATGGGATGAGTTACTGTTTTTTTATTCTACTATGAATTCCACATGAACTCGTAGCCTCCTGCCTTAGCACGTGCGTAGGGTCTGATGTTACAGTGTGCAGGTTGTGCTTATGTTTCATCCCCCTTCCTTTATTGCTGTTTTGTATTTGACAGAATCTATTTAAAATATAGGTTAAGGGTTGATATGAAATCCTATTTACTAAACAAAAATATCAGAAAAGGAAAAAAAATAATGTATGAGTGTGTTTGAATGTGTAGGCTCATAATATCCCTATATACATTCAGACTACTTTCTTTAAATGACTGCTTACTGTAGCTCACATTCAGGCCTAACAATCTAGTGATTAGCACTCAATACAGATTGTGATGTACTGTAGGTGATGATCAAAATGTTTGATGGCGATATGTTTTTGGACTACTAATGGAACGTTATCAAAGGAGAATATTGTTAGTATATGGGCATCAGTGCAGCAGTGCCTCAGCTAAGTTTCTCATTTTAAATAAAAAAAATCAGTTTTGAATTCTGAAGGGATTAAGTAAGTGGTGGACAAATCTTGTCATTTCTTTTCTAAAGTATATGTATTTAGAATACATATACTTCCTGACATATACCCTCCCTGGCATTTACCCCCTCAAGCAAGAACCAATTGCTATGCAAATACGGTTGCCGGAGATAATACTGCACGCTTGTATGTGCTGGAATCAGTTTTAGTAGTTAAACATTAAACTTTGAATAGCATCATTTGAACCCCACGTATCATTATTGGTGGAATACAGAGTAGACATTTAAACCGTCATGGTGCAAGAGTTAAGTTTCTGCAGGACCATAGTTTGGACTTATTTTTCTGATAACTTGGGTGTTGGAACACTACACAAGCAAAAACAGGTTTGCTCAACCATAAAGCTGAGGAGAGAGCTGAGATGACTGAAACAACAACAGGCAGATTTTGAGGCTCCTTGTGGAGACTCGCTGGACTTGATTGTCCTCATTCTCAGGAGCGTCAGCCTCTGGACTGCCTGCAGCAGCCAAGCATCTCTTAAATGTCTTTGTGTGGTTTGCTGCTACATCTGATTATGGTTTGTGGAAACAATCTGAATTGTATTAACTGAGTGGAGCTTGGATTTTTGGTGATATGTTGATACAACCTCCCGTTACAGCTGTAGCAGCCACCGTGCGCAGGTGACTGCAGTGTTTATCTAGGCCGCATTCCAAAGCCATCACAGAATGTTTGCACTTGCAAAATATGCTTGGGTTTAATCAGGATGCCTTAGTTTGAAAAACAAAACCACAAGCCACGATTGACATGTCGACCAAAGGGGTGTACCTTGCCTCTCGCTCACTGTCAGCTGGGATTGGCTCCAGGACACCCCCACATCCTGTGTGCGACCCTCAAGGATAGATAGAATAGCAAATATCAGAGTGAACAGGTTTTGTCAGGTGGTTAAAGTGTCAAAACAGCTGAATGAGAAAACAGGTTTTCAGGTCCTTCAAATCATAATTAGTTTTTCTTGACAGCAGTAAAATATTTTAATGTCTCAAAGTAAAACATTTCGGCACAGAAAGTAATGTATGATGTTGGTAAATTACAAACACTACCCAGCTCTATGTGTGAATTTAGAGGAGAAAACTCCTCTGGGTGTTATCAGTCTGTGTCAGGAACATCGTTGTCTCACTTCCAGAAATGTTTTTCTATGTGTGCGGATACAAACTTATACAGTAAATGTATCCAGTATTGTTTTTAAAGTTCTCACAGTATTCCTCTTCAAGTAAAATTGTATATTGTTAAAAGTTCTCTCTATAGACACTATTTACTGAGCTTCTAAATGTACATAGAGGCAAATGAATGTGTCCTTTCGGTCTGAGTGATGATGGTCTACAGCTGACCAGAATGTGTGGTGAATGTACACTTCAGACGTTCCCAATATATATCATCCCCTCCAGGGAGTAGAAGTACTTGCACGTGAATGTCAGCAGATGCCTTAGTCACTCTACGGTGAGACTGTACTGGGGGGTGGGCAGTTTTACCTACTTGATTCTCAGTCGGTTTGTGGTGTTTGTCATTGGGATTGACTTGAGCTCTAAGCTGGTGGAGCCTGTACTACTCCATGTAATTTTTTTCATGTTGTAAAAGTCATTTTATTTTGTCTGATGTTATTTAAGGTCATGGACTTCTGTTATTGTGTGTAAGTATTCAGAAACCTCTGTCCTCCACCCGCAGTGTTTTCTACAGTGCACAATATGTTGAGTCTGTTGGACACTTTAAAGGTTCAGTGTGTAGAACTGAATGGTGAAGTTCCATGTTTTTAGCTGAACACCCCTCCCCTCACCCTCCCCTTCCAAATATAAAAGAGAACCTGTGGTATCCCTCAGTTGTTTTTGAGACTCAAAAGGTGTTTGGTTTGGACTAATGTAAAAAAACATGGCTCCAGATAGATAGATAGATATTTAAACATAAAGGGCTCATTCCAGGGTAAATACAATTTAGATGAAACATCACTGGGATTATTTTATATTCAATTTCTGCCAATAGATCAATTTTTACCTCAATCTTACACACTGAACCTTTAACTGTTATTCATGGGTCTAATGTTTGTGTTGAGGTTTGCAGTGGACTCTAGAAAGCACTGAAAGTAGTATAAGTAGGACAGTGGCCTTATTTGTTAAGTAACTAAAGTTATAATTGTTATCATATTGGACATAATTTATGACTGTGGCATTTATTGTGCTATAGTTAGAATGCTGATTCCTTGGCTGTGAATAGTGATAACCAGGTTTTTATTCTGCTTTTACAAGTACATGTGTAAGACATAGGACAGCTGGATGATAGGAGAGGTGGTTACATGGAGGGAGGCCTCCATATACTAAAAGCATAATTTAATTTGAATTGAACTGAAATCTACTACCAGTAGTCATAATGTGTTATTCATATATTGTGTGATTAGCAGCATGGGGTTATAAAATGCAGTCAGGAGAATGTATATTGTGACACTGGAGTTGCTTACTTAGCGTGTGTGTTTCACATCAGTGTTGATCCCTCACTTTGGGAGTAGGGGAGCTGGTTCTACAGGCTCTTTCCTTAGGGGCTCAGGCTTTGGGCTTGTCCCCTGAGGGGGCTGAGTTTCTAGCCAGAGGGTTGCCCTAGTCGGGGGTTAGCACTCAGCAGGGAGGCAGTGCAATATCAGGAAGTGCAACATATTCCTTTCTTTGTTGAGAGTGTCAGTCATGGTGCGACTTGAAACAGGTGGATCACCTCCCCCTGCATGGCCCATGACATCGTCCAGTTTCTCCAGTGGGTGCTGGACGTGAGCAAGCCTCCCTCAGCTTTGAGGGGAATGGTGGTCGCTTGTTTGATTCTGACGGTGTGCAAATACATTCCGGATTGTCAGGAAAGACCTTACCATCAAACTGGACGAAATTTTAAAGACATGAACTGACACATGTATCCATTGCATGTTATTTGTGCACATGTACACACCACATTAAGCTCTTATTGAGAACAACGGTAAACAGACTTGTGTCTTTACAAGTATAACAACATTTAAAAAATTGGGGATGAAGAAACAGTGATTTGAAATTCAGGACTGGAGCTCAGACTGTTGACAGCAGGTGGCACTAACATCTTAAGGATTCCAACTTTATATGTACAAATATTCTCTGATGGTGTGAATGTGCTCAAATACAGGATGACTAGTGGAGTTGTCTTTGTATAGTTTCTCTATGACAATAAAGCTATATAGTTATTTTTCACTGAAATGAGTCTTGACAGAATCAACTGTTTGTGGGATCAGCTCAGTTTTAACCTCATATGTGATTTCAGTGTTTTTGTTTCCTGACCTGTCGTTTTCTGCTCAGTCAGTCAGAAACGTGAGAGAAGGGAATCAGCTTCTTAATTTTGCACCAGTGTGCACGTCTTCATTTGTTTGCTGCTACGAGGTATTTCCTCTCACTGGCACATATCCCAAAACACAGTGCTCGCATGTCTCACAGACCTGGACCAGGCCAGTAGTGACATATGACTGACTTGACCTTCTTGCAGGCAATATGAGTGGCTTATCTGATCTGTTCTACTTTCCACTCTCAAACTGACAAACACGCCTGCTGTTACTTGGCAAAGAGGGTCAATGAACTGTATTACTTGAAGTCTGAAACCAGTCGCACTTGATTTGCTCC